TAGATAGATAGATAGATAGATAGATAGATAGATAGATAGATAGATAGATAGATAGATAATACATGAGAGAAAGAGATGAGAGAAAAGAGAGAGATAGTGGACAGACAGATGATGGATGAGATAGATGAGAGAAAGAAAGATGATAGAATGAGATAAGTGTGAGGGAGATGAAAGAGAGAGGGAGGGAGATATGATAGATGATAGATAGATAGATAGAACATGAGAGAAAGAGATAGATGAGAGAAAAGAGAGAGATTATGCACAGACAGATGTGAGATGAGAGAAAGATTTAGATAAGTGTGAGAGAGATGAAAGAGAGAGGGAAGGAGGGAGGGAGGGAAAGAGAGGAGGGAGAGATAATAGACAGATAGATGATAGAAAGATGGATGATAGAGAGAATGAAATAGGTGTGAGAGAGAGGGGAGGGAGATGATGCACATATAAAGTAAATCTTGATTTTGTTTATATCACAAAAGTGACAGCTTACTTCCTGTAGGAAAGAGCGGGCTGCCTATCTTCCTTCAAGTCTGCCTTCCCTCAGCATCCTTCCATAGAGGTAGTCCTTGACTTACCATCACAATTGAGTCCAAAATTTCTGTTGCTACATGAGACAGTTGCTAAGTGAGTTCTTGTGGACTTCAGCTCCCATAATTCCTCAGCCAACATGGTAGTCCACAGATCTCCAAGCTGCCAAGATGGAGAAACACTTCTCTTAAGGCAGGGGTCTCTAGGAAAGCTGGCTAAGGAATTCTGGGAGTTGAAGTCCACAAGTCTTAAAGTTACCAAGGTTGGAGACCCCTGCTCTAGGGAGAATATATACTGGTAGTAGTAGGAAAGTTGAAGCAAGTATGTAAGTTGTAGTGTGCAAGTATGTAAGTTAACGGTGTGTGAGATACTTTTTTATTATTCCTGATGCCCAACTGGTTTGCTTTCTCTCTGACCCAGCCTTGTGGCCCCCCCTTTTTTTTCCTGTCTTTCTAACCTTTCTTCTCTTTCCGACACCCCATTTTTGGTCTCACGCAGCTGGAGGAAGAAATCTACAAAGAAGAAACTCGCAGCCGCCGCACCGTTCTCCTGATCTCCCACCGGCTCCAAAGCGTGAAGCGGGCTAATCTCATCCTGGTCATGGAAGACGGGGAGATCCGCGAGAGGGGGACCTACGAGGAGTTGGTGGAGAAGGAGGGGCTCTTCTGTCAGCTCCTGCAGAAGCAGCCGAATGGGGCAGAGGAGGGCAGGAGCAGCAGCCCCAACGGGAACAATAGGAATTGATAACGGGGTGAGAAACAGGCGGGAACGATCCGGTCTGGATCCCAAAGCAGCACTTATCGCTCCCTGCGCGCATCGTACAGTGGAGAGACATCTCAGCAACGCAACACTCCTCATTGATTGACAGTTTATCCTTCTGAAAGTTCTAAACTGCCGTTCAGGAATCACGATTTAAGCGAAGTGCCATCTGGGAAAACTTTTTTGAGTGGGGAGGGGGTGGGTGGGCGTTCACAGATTAAGCAGAAGACAGCATCTAAGATGGCCTTGCCAAAACCAAAAGAAGTTGGAAGGTTTTGATGACCTCACAGGGACCTGCAATAGAGGGCTGCTCTTTAAAATACTGTACTGTAAAATACTTGGGGGCGGGGCGGGGGGGTATCACTGTTTCTAAGGCTGAGCCACAACTTCCGAAGGCAGCTTCTGTTCCATGGGTTGATCGTTCTCACTGTCAGAAAGTTTCTCCTTATTTCCAGGCTGAATCTCTCCTTGTTCAGTTTCCATCCATTATTCATCATGTGACCAAAACAAATTGGAGAGTAAAATACTTGGGGGCAGAGAGAGGAAGGTGTCACTGTTTCTAAGGCTGAGCCACCTCACAGGGTTGTTGTCGGGAAAATAGGATTACAGATTACAGATTAACGGAGTTGGAAGAGAGCTTGTAGGTCATCTAGTCCAACCCCCAAGCCATGCAGGAGACCCTACACCAGTGGTGGCTAACCTTTTTGGCTCCTGTGCCAAAAATTGCGTGCGCCAAGCACCCAGAATGCAATGCACCCGCCCACATGTGCGCACAATCCCCCCCCCCGCCACCCCACCACCACCTTCTTACCTGCACTGCACCTCACAGCTGATTTTTCTGCTGGTTTGAGGCCTTATTTGGCTTCCCAGAGGCTAGGAAAAAGCCTCTGCAAGGCTTCTCAGAATGAATCAGTATTACAGGAAGTGACGAAATGGGCCTATTCATCCTGAGAAGCCTTGCAGAGGCTTTTTCCAAGTCTCTGGGAGGCCAAAAAAGGCCTCAAACCAGCAGAAAAATCAGCTGTGAGGCACGCATATATGCAGTGAGGTAGGTTTGCCTGCGGCTTGCGTGCCGGCACAAATGTCTCTGCGTGCCACTTGTGGCATGCGTGCCATAGGTTTGCCATCATGGCCCTACATCATTTCTGACAGATGGCAGTCCAATCTCTTCTTGAAAGCTTCCAGTGATGAAGTTCCCACCACTTACGAATCTGAAAGCAAAGCTGCTCCATTGGTTAATTGTTCTCACTGTCAGGTTCTAGGTTGAATCTCTCCTTGATCAGTTTCCATCCATTATTCCTTGTCTGGCCTTCAGAAAATGAGTTGACCCCTTTCTCTCTTTGGCAACCCCTCAAGTATTGGAAGACTGCTGCCATCATCTCTCCCCTGGTCCTTCTCTTCACTTAGACCAGTTATGCCCAGTTCCTGCTGGCCACTGCCTGCTCCCAAAAGTGCCAGAAACATCCCGTGTGTTCACCACCTTGAGATATTTATAAATGGGATATAACGAACGAACGAATCCAGCAGTAAAATCGGATTGTGTTCTGTTGTCCCAAAGACGCTTTTCCAAAAGACAATTGGACTGTCTTTGTTTTTCCTGGAAGATGTTTCGCTTCTCATCCAAGAATCTTCCTCAGTTTTGACAGAAGTGTAAGGTCCCAGAAGTTTCCCTGAGCCACAGAGACGCCAAAGAGTGAAACTCGAGACGAGGCTTGCAAAAATAACAGCTTTTTTATTTGGCCAAAGCAAAAAGTCTGGGTGAATATTATGTCCAAAACATACGGACAAAATGCATGTAAGGAATAGCCACACCCTGCAAGAGTGGCTCAGAATATTACATACATTTTACGCTGATAGAAACTAAGTTTATCCAATTAATGTCGGCAATGTCTTACCCATGCCCTCCCCTTCCTTATCCATGAAGCGTTCTTTGTCCGTGCTCTGTCCATACTTTGTTATTTTACACAGTATCCCTTGTCCTTGTGTGTTCATGCTCCTGGGCATCCTCCTCTTATCTATGAAGCAAGATGTTCATGGGAATTGTCTGCAAAGATGTGCCTAGCTCTGAAGCAAATTGCAGAGGCGAGAAACCAGATAGAAAAGGATACGAATCTCTTACAGAACGAATTCCTAACAAAACGATTCCCATCCTTAGCAAAATAGTCGAAGCAACTTCTTTAACAGATGCAAAGAGCAAAGGTTAGATTGATTCATGTCAAAATGTCCTTTCAGAAGCTTCTTGGATGAGAAGTGAAACATCTTCAAGAAAAAAAAAACCCAAGTCCAATTGTGTTTTGAGGAAGCACCCTTGGGGCAAGCATGTCCTGGATGGCTGAGAATCTCCACAGAGGTGGTGCTCGGTTCCTTTTTAAAAATGCTCCCCCTCAACGAGGCATCAGGATCGCCATTCCTGGTATTGAACGAGATTTTGGAAATCTCGTTCCCGAACGTGTGAAGTTTTGGTGATCTCTCGAGAGTGCTGCCATTTTGTAGTGTTATTTTTTTAAAATTCAGCTTGGGAGAGTTGAAGGCTTTTCTGTTTTGGAATGACGAGAGGCCTGGGGAAGGCCGTGTGGGCTTATGTCCTCCGCTTTCTTTTAGAGACCCTTAGTGCGGGGGTCTTCAACCCAGTGATGGTATTCAGCCGGTCCTCACTGGATCTAGTGAACCGGTAGCAAGAAATTTGACGTGGGTTGCCAAACCGGTAGTAAGTTCTGGCTGGCCACGCCCCCGACCCAGTCGCCCGATGCTCGCTCACCACGCCCGCCTGACGTTCACCTAAGGTATTTCTTATTTTTCCTCCTGACAATCAGTTGTATGTAGATCAGCTGTGCTGGGATTCCCCTTGCCTGAGGCACAGAAAGGCAAAAAAATTGGCTCCGTTTCCCCCTCCAATTTTGCTGTCCTATGCTTCAGAGGAGCCTGAGAGGAACAAAAACATTCTTCTGAGGCCAGGAATCTCCCAAAATGGAGCGTGGAGGGGTGCTACATGCCCCCCCCCCCGTGCACTTTTTTTTCTTCCTAAACCTCAAGAGCTTTAGGGGAGCAAAAACGCCCTCCTCAGGCCCAAAAAATGTGTAGGGGCTGCAAAAAAGCAAAAAAAAAAGCCATGCCCACCAAGCCACACCCACAGAAATGGTTGTAAAATTTTTGGAATCCCACCCACTGCTCCAACCTTGGTGTCTTTAAGACTTGTGGACTTTAACTCTCTGCCAGCTGGGGGATTCTGGGAGTTGAAGTCCACAGATCTCAAAGACAGCCTCAGTGAGTAGCCCTTGTTGCTATGACCTTCAAAGGTAAATGCTTCCTTGAGACCAACTTGGACATTAGCTGTCTTCTGGGAGGATGCCAACTGAGCTCTTCCTCTTTTGAGCTTGCCTCTAGTTCAGCTATGCCTCTACTGTGGAGTGAGGCAGCTTTCTGAACGGAAATATTTGGCAGCTCAAATGTTAGAGGACTTGGCAGTCAAGTCAAGCGGGAGCATCAAAATGGCGTTCACACATTTGAAGCCTGTTCCATTATTTTGTTGTTGTGGATGCCACTAAAGCTGGCATCCACAACTCTTCCGCTGCCACCTTCAGCTCTAGCAGAAGATGCCAATGCCAAAGTGATTATAAATTATTAGATTATTGAGTCCGGTTACTAACTTCAGAATTAGTACGCATCTTTTCTTTCCCTCAGGTTGTGAAATGGTTTGGATTCGATTATTCCAATCTTTGCTTTCCTCTTTTCCTAGCTGAGCAGATCATATATTCATATTTTGGGACCTTTTAATCTGTTGCTCACCTTGGAGTTGTACCCGATTTAGGAGGAAGGCCTCCTAAATTGGGTACATTGGTCCAAATTTTGAAAGCCGCTTGGGCAGACCGATGAAGTAGCTGATCTGGGTTTAGTGTTAAATAAATGAAGAAGTTCACAATTGCTTTCTGTAAGATCTTGTATTTTAGAAAGCCCATGTGCAGAAAAACACTTGTATTTGTACATTGTAAAATAAATACCTATCTAATATTTCTTGTCTTTATATTATCTATCATTTCCTTGAATACATTTTTCATACTAGTAGAACAATTATATAGTTTCTCCAGCCAGATAACAGCAATAACACTTATACAATAACTTATACAAATAAATAAATGCTCTGTCTTACATATTGGCAAAAAAAAAATCAGAAAATAAAATACAAGCTGAATAGTCAAGACCTTGCTGATGATCTAAACTCTGTCAAGGATCTTGGAATACTCATCTCTAAGTGCTAGAGCCCACTGTAACTACATAGCCAAAAAGGCATTAAGAGTTGTTAATCTAATCTTACGTAGCTTTTTCTCTGGTAACATCACACTACTAACTAGAGCGTACAAAACATTTGCTAGACCAATACTCAAATACAGCTCATCAGTCTGGAACCCACATTACATACCTGATATTAACACAGTTGAGAAAAGTCCAGAAATATTTCACAAGAAGAGTTCTCCACTCCTATACTCGTTGCAGAATACCTCATGCCACCAGACTTGAAATTCTAGACCTAGAAAACCTAGAACTACGCCGCCTTCGGTCCAATCTAAGTATAGTATAGTATATAAAATCATACATTGCAATGTCCTACCTCTCAATGAATACTTCAGCTTCAACCATAACAACACAAGAGCAAACAATAGATACCAACTCAAGGTTAACCGCACCAAACTTGATTGCAGGAAATATGACTTCAGCAACAGAGTGGTCAATGTCTGGAATACTCTACCTGACTCTGTGGTTTCTTCCCCAAACCCCAAAAACCTTAACCTTAGACTGTCTACTATTGACCTCACCCCTTTCCTAAGAGATCTGTAAGGGGCGTGCATAAGTGCACCAACGTGCCTACCGTCCCTGTCCTATTGTTTCTTTCTATTTTTCTTAAATGTATCCATTTCATGTATTCATAACTATGGGTATACTTATACCTGTTATCTTATAATCGCTTGACAAAATAAAATAAATAAATAAATACACAGCTTCACAGTGCTTCACAGCCCCCTCTAAGCAGTTTAGAGTCAACATATTGCCCCCAACAATCTGGGTCCTCATTTTACTGACCTCTGGAAGGCTGAGTCAACCTTGAGCCTGGTGAAATTGGAACTGCCAAATTGCAG